TTTTCTGTCTTTTCATTGTATTGTTTTGTTTTTTTTTTTATTTTGTTTTTATTTTGTGTGTGGTGTTGTTTTTTGTTTTGGTTTTTGTGTTGTTTTGGGGTGGGGGGGGTGGGGTGGGGGGGGTTTGCGGTGACGATTTTAAACACGTCTTCGATGGAAATGTTATCGTGCGCCTCTCTAACAAGATGATTCGCGCGTTTCTGATTTGTGAAATTACTTGCACGTCATAAACCAACAAAGGACCACAACTGGCGATGAAACTAGATTGCAATGGAATAAGTTTCGCCCACGTCTTAGAGCACAGGATATGTGAAAAATTTACTAAGGTAAAAGTATGAATTTACTTGACTGTACACCTGAAGGATTAGATTTAAAAGGGAATTTTCATTCGGCCTTTTTATAGCATATTGTTTAAAGAATCCTTACGTGAACACGTTGGAGGCCTGGACCATTTTCCATTCCCGCGACACGTCCTCCTTTTCGGGCCACTCAACTTGAAGCCTTTTTCACAATTGTATTTTATCTTGTCTTTATAACCGAAATTTCTACCGACAAACGTCGCGTTTGGTATGTCTGCAGGTCTCCCACACGGCCCTGAAAGGAACATTTAGGAACATAAACACGCAAGCTTTGTTCATGAATACATTTTAAAAATAAAGATACCTTGTGAATGTCTCCAGGGCGTTAGTTCCCCCTATCCTTTTTAAAACAGTCCTAGCAATTATGTAAGCAAATGGCGTCGAGCGATGGGGAAAGGAAAAATATGTCGAGTCTTTGGATGGGATTTTCGCCCAGAATTTTGTGTTATATTATTATTGTTTTGGTTTCCTATCAAAACGTCGCTAATGCAGCTTACAAAATCTTCAATGAAAACCAAATCACTTGCTGCTAATGTCTGTAGGCGCTGTCTAATTTGCCGACGTGAACCGCAGGCAAGCCGTACAGGAGACAGGAAAAAAAAATAGTTAACTCAGTTTACAAGCGTGGCCGAGAAGATGAATTGGGAAAAGTACCGTGGAACAAATCTAGTCAACACTGTGCTGGGAGTTAAACTCGGGGCCTCTGGATTGCAAGTCCAGTGCTCTTAACGCTCGGCCACATTGCCCCCCCCCCCCCCCCCCCCCCCCACCAACCCCCCCCCCACCCACACTTTTTTATTCCTTTTTTATAAAAAAAAAAAAAAAAAAAAAAAACCATATTAAACAAACTTAACATTCATCAAATTATTTTTTTAATTTTTTTGTCTCGCTTCATTTCGAATCTAAAATAAAAAAAAAAAAAAAACAAAACAAAAAAAAAAAGGAACAAGAAAAAAAAAAAATTTAGCCCAGGTTAAAACGGGGGCCAAGAAGAAGAATTGGGAAAAGAACGGGGGAAAAAACCTAGTAAAACCTGGGCGGGGGGTAAACCCCGGGCCCCTTGGATTCAAATCCCGGGCCCTTTAACCCCCGCCCCAATTCCCCCCCCCCCTTCCCCCCAAGCAAACAACGCCTCCTTCTTCGAGTTTTCCCATTCCGTTATGAACAAAAATACAACGGAAAAGGAGCCTCTTCTTACATATAATTTCAGTTCAGCTACTGTTAATTTATGTTGTCTTGGCTCTCGTCCTATTAGACAAATAATAAAAAGAGAAAACCGCCTTAAAATAATAACACTTTTTAGGCAAGGAACCCATGCCACATAGGAGATTTTCACTGGGGCCCCGTAAAAGCAATAATAACACTTAAAACATCTAATGAATATACATCATATTTAATGGTTACAATCACCATAAAAAAAAACACTATTAAACAAAAACTACAAACGCAATTTCCAAGATTGAAATACATTGTGGTACAAACAAATACATGCGATTACAAGGAGAAAACACAAAAACGGGTGATTTTTTCGTGATAAATGGGTTGTAAACAAAAGAATAGCATTTTAATAAACAAAATAGTGGGAATAAGATTTATTTAGGTTTTTCATAGCAACGGATGCAAAGTGCTGATCACAGAATCATGGAAAGTGTGAAATTTTACAAAACGTCAATTTAAAGTATATTTTTATAAAATTTAATCAACTTTGAGTGAGTAATTTCTCTTTTCTATTAGAATTTTTACATCACTTGTATTTACTAAATGAAATGTATCCACACACTACCCCCATAAATACCTTGCCTTATCTCCCTTATGATATGCACCAGGTATCGTCCTGGTAACAAGTGGATTTAGAAAATTCAGTCCTTGAGCTTTAATTTAACACCCAGGGAGTATCAAGCGGGGTGCTACGAAAATCCATTTTGGGGTCTTGACTCATAGACTATATGACAAAAAGAGTCAGTAATGTTGCTCCTTCTAGTGGAATATATTAAGTAATACCTAAACATCGAGGTTCTTGCTTTTCCTTCCATTTCCCCTTCTTACAGCTCCTTATTTTCTGACCAACCAACTTGAATCCGTCACGGCACCGATATCTTGCCTTGGAAAGCTTGATGTTTATATCGATCAAGGTGTTGTTGTTTGGTGGATTTTTGTGAATATTTCGGAGTAGTTTTTCGCATTTTTGCTCTGAAAGACATCATGAAAATATCTTCTTAGTTGTGAAGAAATTTCTAAAGGAAACTAAACGGACAGGATTCCTACGCCAGGTTTGCACTAAAGGAGATTTTTCCGGATTCTTAAATAGTTTTTGGATGGATTTACCAGCGTTAACACTACTTTCTTTAACTGTCTTAGCTTGAGCAACTCTTCTAAAGAATACAGCTTGACATCCATGGGGTAATAGCAATTGCAGTAACAGATAATCTTGAAGTTTTTGTGTCAACTGTACAAATCCAGAGTCTATGTCTATTTGAGGATCACTGTTTTTCTCAGCAAGAAAGAATAGTTCTTCCTTTTGTTGTTTGAAATAATACTTTAAACGATATAAGCCCCCCGGAACTCTACAACTTAAATTCTGGTAACTCAGCCGCAGTTTTCTCATGTTGGTTTGTCTTCTTGGTGAGAGGTTCCCCTCATTACCCTCGCATTCATGCTCAAGGGTTAACTCGTCCCAAGACCGTCGAGGAATGCGAATGTTGCCTATTGATTAGACACCATCTAGGAAACTATTTTGCAAATGATCTTCCAAATGCATGCGTATAACTTTATAAGCAGTGTAAGTTACTAGGAGCATCGTAATTTTCCTGTGCGCATGCGTTAAGTCGACGCCTACACCAAATTATGTTCAGTTCCCTCCACGTTCAGTTCCTTCCACAGCTTTCACTCAACAATTTTGTTGGGTACTTGGATTGTTTAACTGATAGAAGTAGTGACCACGATGAGTGACAGTCTAAAATACAACTTAGCTATAATAACAAAATAGGAACGTTATCCCGATATTTGGAACGGTCAAGCCGTCCTTTGGAATTTAACAGCTAAAGCTTACTTGCAGTCTCGGTTCTCTTGCAGAAGAAGGTCAATGAGGCCGCAAATATGAACAGTAGAACCTGGAAATAAAGGAGATCATTGTGCATGTTGTCTAATTCCAAGTGTTTATTTTGTTTGCGTCTGTTGATGGTTTTGTTTTAATTTGTTTATTATTGTTACTATTATTGTTACTGTTTATAAAATAACAATTAGTTATCAAAAAACAAAAAACATACCTTATTAAACTCTTCTCAAATTGAAAATTAAATACAAATTTAGTATAGCTAATAATAATAATTTAATGACTTATAGTTCGCGTGTTACATGGAGATATGCTCACATGCTCATTACACTACAATGATTACAATAAGACATCGTGCAGCGGTGTACATTACATATATATAAAGGATGAACATGAATTTGCATATAATAGTGTACAGTAAATAATAGTTTACAGTAAGTATTCTCTCCAGTTGTCTCTAATGAGGAACATCAACTTTGCTTTTTAGTCACCTGAGACAAATCACACTTAAACACTATTCCTTTTACTTTATGAACTTGCATTTTTTTTCTTGCTTTTTTCTTCTCTTAGTAGAAAACCAAATGAATGAATAAAGCATCACACCTTCATAGGTCTTCATAAGCAACGTTGCTCGCATGCCAAATTGCCCCCTTGTGACTCGTGAAGACAATTAGGACGAAGAGAATAGGCCATAAGTAATATCTTATTAAAATCAGGGTCATTGGAGTCATGTTATCTAAGCAAGCAATTTGACTTTCATTCTTTATTCAGTAAAATACGCTTTTCTAAAATTGCCTCAGGCTCCGTATAAGGCTGGTAAGGGGAGTGTTTCAGTCCTTTTGCTTCTGGCATATCTATTAGCATACATGTATTGACGTGTTTCTCAAACTATGTAGTTATTCCTATTACAAACAAGAGCAATACCAGCAGCACGTAGTCAGGAATGACTGGTCTACGCTTTAAACATACCCTACTATAACACGGAAAAGTAGGTAATATATACTCAAACCCCCTCACCTGGAATCGTAAATGCATATCAACCCGTTGATTTCACTCTTGCTTTTGCTAATTGCGAACTGATTTCAAAACACATGAATCTTCAATAAACTTCCGCACCAGTGTGCTTCAGACTTTGGTTTAGCTTTGTAACCGTTCGAGCTGAAGCGATCAAATGTTGCCAGAGTGATAAAAGATAGCCAATAAAAGGAAATTAATACACCCCCTACGACAGAGCTTAAACGGAAAGAAAGGTCAAATATGTGGCCATTTTCACAAACCCTCATTTTTCCGCGTTCGTCTTGAAGGGTCGTTTGCTTTCGTTTGCCCAACTTTGTAATACGAATCAGTCTGCAACAAGTTCCACCGCTATATCATTTTATTAGTATCGGTCAGACGTAAGGGTTCCCAGTGCCCTTATAAAAGTGATGCAGTAGTGTGACTCAGAGCTGAATGTAATACTATATTGAGCCATTCTCTAAAAAGAGAATACACTCCGTAGGACTGGATAGCTTCCAAGACTCAAATGGGTCTAACTACAGGGGTGCCAGATCCGTGCCAGATCAGCCTTTACTTCTAACATCAACATAAATTGTATTCCACAAGGCATTTTTGTCTGACTTTGGGGCATCTGCTGATAAATGAGGTTTAAAGTAATATGTTTTCGGCTCAATGTTACTTCCCATTCATTGCTCACGTTCTTAGTGAATCTAATCTTCTTAGTGAATCTAATCTTCTTTACATGAAACATTGGCCAAACGTCAAAACAAATTATCAATCAGTTCATTAATAAGATTACATGTGATGACAGAGGACTGAGACTTTTCAGCACGTTCGTATGTGTTCCTGTTTCCTTAATCGCTGAAACATAACTCTAAACTAAGACTCCTGGTAAAAGCAACTGATCGACGACGCCACAATGTTTCGCATCGGCAGTATCATTCTTTGTGTTTTACTGCTGCGACTGATAAAAGCAAACGACGACAATTCAGGTAAGTAAATTAATACCATTGAGACTGCTGCAATAACGGAACTGTAATATATATCATCAATTATGAAAGGTAAAAACGCGCTATAGTTCAGCACGAAATTCCAAGCCAATAAAGCGCTTTGTTTGGGATCTTTCAGTTCATAAGGAAAGTTTCAAACTGGTGGGACCTTATTTGATTCTACCAGAAATGACCATTTTCACGACAGGCAGCTTATAAATTAGTGCAAATGAAAAACAGACAGGGTCGAGGACCCCAGTTTTTCTCTGGGTCATACTTAACAAGGACAATTTCTCACGCACTCCTAGTGTAAGGATAACTAAATTCCCCAACTAGGGGTGGAGTTCGTTATTTTCCTGTTTGAAGGGAGTCTTCAGCGTAGAACAAAAGGCACCTCTGGGAGAGGTTCTGATGGCCCCTAAAAAAATGCACCTAACGATAACGTGGGATCCGCGGGTCGATACCTAAAAGACTTTTTGAGTACTCATTGAAAACATACCAAAATACAAAGACTTAACATCTTTTAAAGTCGTTTTCGAGTGAGATGTAACAGATTTTGTCATGTTTTGTTATTATTATTATTATTATTATTATTATTATTATTATTATTATTATTATTATTATTAAATTATTATTATTATTAATTTTTTTTAATGATCTTGAAATTGTTTAGTGAAGAAATGTCCTGTCCCGAAAGCTCCTGAAAATGCTGTTGCTATCGGTAACAACACCGTTGGCTCGAAAGTCAGNGCTCCTGAAAATGCTGTTGCTATCGGTAACAACACCGTTGGCTCGAAAGTCAGGATCCTATGCACCGAAGGTTTCTTTCGAAGGGGGAAACCAGTTAAAATCCAGTGCCAACCAAATGGGCAATGGACTGAAACCAACGTTACTTGCGTAGGTAGGTTTATAAACATTTTAACGTAAATGTTTTCTTCCACTTAATTTCAGCGGAAGTAATAATTCAATTCCTTCAAGCGTTGAAAGGACTCTGCCAAAGCTATTTCTAATTAATCGTTTATTGCCCTTTAAAAGAGTTAATTTTCTCACTTTATATGGCTCAAATGTATTTGTTTGTTCCCAACTTTACAAGTCGCTCTTTCCATATAATTGGTCGTTAACTTGAAGATCATGTCGAACTTGTAAAAAGAAACTTCTGGAGTAACGCCTAATCACTTGTGCAAACGCAACAGTGAAAGCCGCTTTTAGCCTCTTAAGATGAATGGGGATGCCTACTGACGTGCCGCAATTCAATTTTGCTTATCTGTATAATTTTTACGATTATTAAGGGTGCCACTATTTGATAACGAAGAAGATTTCTTTCAGTGGCTGGTTATTTAATACAGTGTTTGATGCTTTCAGCTAAAAGCTGCGGGGATCCGGGATCTCCAACCAATGGAAATCGTGTCGGGTGGTTGTTCCAATACAACCAAACAGTGAGATTCAAATGCTTAGAGGGATATATTCTGGAGGGTCCTAAAACAAGAATCTGCCAAGCCAACCAAACCTGGAGTGGAATACAGCCAATCTGTAAACGTAAGCAACTCAGGATGCAAAATTCATGATTTTAAATCCATCGTTATGAGGAAAGGAAGAGAAAGAATCGAGGAAGTTTCGATTTTTATATAGATTAGGGCTCTCCGTTGCCAGTAGTTCAATGCCACGCGACCCTCAGAACATGTGATCGGCCGCTCCCTTTATATTAACGAAATCATAGTTAGATCACATCTTTTTGTTAATAGTAAGAAAGCGAAAAAAGGATTGACGCTTTTGCTTCCAAATTATTTTTCCATGAAATTGCTCAAGGCCAAAATCGGGTGGTTAGTTTCAAGCGAAACTATGGCGACTCTGCCAGTGGTTGAGTGAAACAAAAGAATTAGTTTTTAACACTGGGTCCTCGTCAATATAGAGGCTGATAAACCTTGTCGACGACTTAATTGTTAAGAGGCAATTTTTGTTTTTTGTGTTATTGTTTAGCAATTACGTGTGAGGACCCGCCCAAAGTGATAGGAGCAATGATGGTCGACAGCGGTGGGTTTGTGTTTAAAGAAAAAGTGCGGTACAAGTGTCGTGACGGCTATCGAATGGAAGGATCAGGAACTCTGACCTGTGCAGCAAATGGTAAATGGATCGGTGAAATTCCAGCTTGTAAAGGTAATATTATTAATTGATTAAGAGATAAATAATAGTTGCCTACCAGTTCGATATAATGGACATGCAGAACTAATAACACAAGTATTCAATCAAGCAAAATTTCACTTTACTTTAAGGTTTTTGCTAAAATAGATTGGGTTCTGGAAAATAAGAAGAGCAGTTAATCTCAGTTGCTTGTCCTAAATTGTGATCCAGCCACAATGAGTCACCGACGGAATTTAGCTTTAAAAGAACTCCCCATTTCCAATGGCAAAGCTGCAAGGTCCAGGCTTTCTGCAGATAGCCGCTTTCCCACTATGAGATGAACTTTGGTGGAGGTGGTGGTTCAAATGGGTGTTTTTACAGGGCGTCCGAGCTCTCCGGTTCAAGGCTGTCTGTAGAGCTCCAACTGTACTTAAAATCGAAGGTTATCAT